ACAGGAGGGCACATAAGGATGCAATTTCCGCAGCCTCTGGCCGGAGTGGTTAAAGAAAAGTCCTCACCCCTGCACTGCAGCCTGCTCCTGCCACCCCTTTCCATCCCCTCCCGCTACCGCAGTGCAAGCGCTTGTTGGGCTGTGCTGTGAACTCAATTGCTGAAATGATCTGGGTTAAAAATAACCTTGTAAAGAGTTAAGGGACATATTTTTAGCCCAGATCATTTCAGTGATCCAGTTTACAGCATAGCCCCACAAACTCACACTGATGCAATGAAAGGGGGGAAGGAAAGGTCAAGGGAGAATGAGCAGCTGGAAACATAAGCTGGTTTTCTGCCAAAACCAGGACCTTATGAAACTGCACCCCAAAAGCAGTGACCCTCTCTTGTTTTCATCTAGCATATTGACAACTGAGCTGGGTGCCCAGCACTATTTCTGGATCTTGTTTGTGTAATCAAGACACTAGCCCTGAGCCTCAAATACGTTATTGTGTCTTCCTCTGACACCCTATATTTGTCACTATTTTTGCCATATTTGCTTTTGCTGAGGTAGTTTGTATGTGCAGCAACAGAAACCTCCATGAGAGTCATGGGGGAGATTTGCAGAGCTTGCGCGCACACATTGTGTGGGAAGGCAGCTGGCACGATGGACTGGTGTGAGAATGGGCTGCAGGGAATCCTCCCTGAGAAGCTATTTAGAAGCAAGGGAGGGATGTGGCAGTCAGGGACTGGCCTCAAAACTGCATCTCGATGCAGCTGCATGAGCATGGGGGTGGAAAGAGCACAGAACCAGTACCAAAATTGTGTAACTGTCACTGATTTCATAGCCGCTGAATACTCCAGCTTTGCAGGGTGCTGTGGAGGGCTTGTATCTCAGATAAGAGGTGCTCCACCTGGCCAAAATATCCTACTTGCAAAAGCAGGCAAGTCAGAGGATTCATAGGGGAAGGAAGGAGACTAGGGCGGTACAAATCTCTGCTGTTATTCAGCTGATATTTAAGTGCTGCTTAAGCCAAAAACACTCTGCTGGATGGCAGCTAATAGACCTTTGCTCTTTTCATCAGCCAAACCAAGTGCACGAATCCAAACCTGAAATTCTCCTTCAGTATCTGCTTCTGACCCTCACTGCTATACTTTCAGACCAGCATTTCCAGTACCATATTATGGACAGTGGCAAAACTGGTGGGATACCCACTCTGTCAGACGGAGTCATGATAGCTTTCAATCTCAAGAGAGTGGGTCATGACCAAAACTGCTAGCTGAGGGCTGTTGGAGCCAGTTTTGCACCAGTCCCAGCAGGACAGTCAAATTCATCCCAAAGCCACCTCTGGCTTTCCAGTTTTCCCCAGGAGTCTTTGCAGTTTTGATTTCAGAAGACACTTGTTGCCTGCAGTGACACTCCCCACCTGTAGCTTAAATCCGTGATCTTTAAGAAAAGCCTTTGTGAGTACCCAAATGGGATGCACAGAGAAACTCTTCAATTTCTTTACATCTTCTGTGTGGGCCTTTAATATGTACCTTCTCTCACCTGGTGCCCATAGTGAGTCCATGGGCTCTAGCAGGAGAACTGGTGAATGTCATTGAGCCAGGTAATGACACGGCTGTCCTGAGCAGCCCCCTCTGTGAGAGGTTATTACTCCCACATCAGGCAGCCTTACTAGACCTCTCATTTTCTGGCATATTAAATTGCCAGTGAAGCTAGGATTGTTCTACTCCAGTGCTGCCAAAGGGACCAAGTTGAGTTTCAAATGCAGATGAAGAAAGATGGGGTTGAAAACCATTTTCAAATTTACTCAATTTTATAAAGTTATTTGGAAGAGGAGAGTGAAACCCCTTACAGAGAACTTGCTAGTTGCACTTCCTCTTTTGCATGCTTACATTGATGGTATAATTCAATTCCTCTTTTGCTGCTCTGTCTGATATTTTTCAGAATACGCAATGCTTAGACACTTATTTTTATGGAACAGTAAAAGACCTCAGAGTAGCAGTCACCAAATTACTGCTAGAGTAAGTCTTTTACCTTAGCTTGCTGGTTTTAGCCCATGCAGGCTGACTACACTTCTCTTCTGAAAAGGAAAAGAATCAGCAGTTGGCTGCAAAATTAACATCTGAGTAATTTCACCTTTTTTGTCAAAAAACAGAGCTGCTCCTCTTCATCATTCATAAAAGTGGTGGGCTATATCACCGAGACAGGAAAAATGACCAGGAATGGGACAGGTTGCATTAATATCATGGGGCAGGAGAGAGCCAGCACTGAGCTCTCGGGTGAGAGGAGCAGATACATGTCTTAGATGTAGAAGAGGCTGAGGGCTGGTACATGCTCTGGGGTGAGAGTGAGAAAGTGAGGCTTCCTACCTTCCTCCCAGTAGGAATGAGACTGCCAGTCCAGCTGCTGGAAGTCAGGGGGATGGTGTTCTCCTTGCAGTGCAAGGAAGGGAACTTTTCGCATCTAAGTGCCCTGGTATGGCACTTTCCCTTGACTAGAAGACATAGAGCTTGGCACACAAGCTGGAGGAAAAGAAAAAGAAAAGAAGCTGTAGAAAAAGCTGGATACAGGACGGCAGTGTAATTGCCAGAAAGGATCTGAGAAAGGACTTTTCCTGTTGCAAAACATATAGCGTAATCGGAGAGTCTGCAGCTGGCAGTTTCGGGAGGACACAGTCTGTGGGCTACTTATGCTAATCTTAGAATGGCATGTTCACGGCTTCCTGCACCCTGGCCGGCGAGCTTCACGCCGACGAGAGCCGCGTTGCAATCAATGCCTGCTACCAGCAAAACAAGAAATGTGTGGAATCATTCCAGTCTCACAGCTTTGATCAAATCCAAAGAAAGGGAGCTGTGTTTTCAGACTGTAACTCAAAAAACATTAAAAAAAAAAAAAGAAAAGAAAATGAAAGAAAAACCACAACCACCCCAAAAACAAGAGGTCAAAGTGGCCAAGAGGAAGTGCAGTGTCTTTTCTGGGTAAAGGCAAAGGGCTGTGAAAGAAGCTGTTGGAGAAAAAGGGACTGTGAGGGAGGTAACCCTTCCACCACAGACACTGAGCACCTGCAGCTCCTCAGCCTTAACTGAGTCCTCGGTTCTTGTGTCCATTCTGCCATGCCCAGGTATCCTGGGAGCCAGTATGCTGAGCCAACCCTCCCAATCCATCTTGCCTTCCCCAGATTCATCCTTTGCTCCCTCCTCTTTCCAGCCCGTCCTCCCTTCACGGCAGGGAGCCAGCCTGCAGCTGGGAACCTTTCTCCCTCCCCACTTAGCCCAGCTGTCATTTTTCATGTGCAGCAGGTTGCCCTGCTGATCTGCTTACCTCACTGTTTATTCCGTTCCCCTTATCTACCACTTCCCCTGCCTGTAATTACTCTAATGAAGGCTGAAAATGTGGGGGGATGGTGCTAGAAATTCACTAAGAGGAGACAGCTTGATATGACTTTTGTGGATGGATGCAGGAAAGCTGGTCCAAACTGTATGGGAAGTTTAATGGGGTGAGATGTAGTCAGAATCCTGGAAACGGGGAATGGCAGACATTTACTGGGGCTTGTGGGCCTGGGAGAAAGAAGATAGCATTTATTGAGAGCATTTATTTACAGCTTTCTGAGAAAGGGAAAGGCCCTTTCCCACAATGCAAACAGGCCTTAGCCATGCTGCGCTCTACCAGGTATTTCAGACTAGAGAGTGCTCCAAGCTGCAGATGATGAGATGATCCTTAATGTAACCTCCTTGATTTGCTTTTAATCTTGAAACTAGGAGTCTAAAGAAATACTCTTTGATATTATTTCAAGTTTCCACAGCTACTTCTCCAGCCCCTGTAACGTGGTGACCCAAGGAAATGGTCCATATGTGAGCTAGATAGCTAGATTGGTGTTTCAAGGGCCTTTCACCTCCAGTGATGCTGAAGGAGTGGTTATGTTAACAAGACAGCAAGTCTCTCTTGGGCTGAGCAGCATAAAGGGAGAAGGAAGGGCTCTGCTGGAGCCTTTGGAGAAACAGAAATGTATTCCTCTAGCAACGACCTCTGGGGAAACTTTCTGACTGAAAAGCAGAAGAGTATTGAGGCAGAGGGGTGAGAAGCATGGTGCTGGTTATGCATTCACAGTGGTGGTACAGGGAGAAGAGGTATGAGGTTCCTTGCTGATGGTTCATAGCCTAGTTTATTGTTTTGAGGTCTCCACCTCTAACAAAACAAGGATTGCTGGTTAGTTTCTCCTAGTTCCTCTGGTTTGGTTTTGCCTGGCATCAGATACTAGAGATGAAAAATAAAGGTTTCTCTTCATCACCTTTGATTTCAAGGCTTTCTACTCACTTGCTTGATACACACATAGCAAAGAAAACAACGTAAATGTGGGATGACAACAGGGCTGTGTGCTGTGGGAAAAGCCACACCATCCAGTCTCCAACAAGCCTTCTGCTTCTTAGCTTGTTGTCAACCCAGGGGAGGGGAAGCTTCTCTCAGTCCTGGTATTTTCTCCTCCCCCCAGCCCTGCCTGAGTATTTCACTGCCAAAAAAGCAGAACACCACAGGGACATCCCCAAGCAGATGCTGGCTTGCTGCTAAGACAGGGAATGGCTTCTTGCAGCAGAACCACTGGAAAAGGGAGGGCGCCAGTGACCAAAGCAGTAAAAAAGGGATGGGAGGGCTGAGAAGGTATATGGGAACATCCTTTACTGCCCCACTCCATCTGCTCATTGCGAGGAAAAGATTTGGAACAGACACTTGGCTTGAAATACTTAAATTTGCTTCCAGTGAAAAATACTGAGTGTAGGCTCTTCAACTAGAGCTGAAAGGCTCCGCACAAATTACTGATTTTCTGAGATATTTGAAAATGTTACTAGGTCCTGTCTTCCCAAACCTCTTGCTTTCAGATTGGATGATTGATTCCAGATGTAAGAAACTGCCTTAAGTCGCTGCTTACTCTTGAACTTTATAACACATACACAGGCTTCTCTCTAGCCTGCTTTCTTTTCTCAGCCTTTGCTCATAACTTGTTGTTCCCAATTTGGCAGAACAGGACAGCAGAGACCAACTCAGAGGTGGACAAGTCAGCATCACCCTCAGTGGCTCAGCTAGCAGGGAAATTCAAAGAGCAAGCAGCCAATACCACTGGAAAAGAGGTAAGGAGTTCTGCAGCCACCAGCAGGTAATCGAGTGGGAAATGAGGCACTCACCTTGCCTGTGAAGTTAGAGCATCAGTGATCTGAGCACGAATCCACCTTGATTTTGAACCTTTGCAAAGGATATGTGTCCTAGTGCAACACAAACTTTCACAGTATCTTCCATGCATTACTGACTTGTTGACAAGTATTTTGGTAGAGCCATACCTCAGGACAACTAGACACTGTAACTGAGACACTGTAAAGCTGGGTAGGGTATATATATACACCTAACAATAGCAGACAGCAATGCATGTACTACCTGGGCTGGCTTTTGTGGGCAGAGGGCAACAACGAAGAATGAAATAGCTAATATTGAGCCATAGAAAAAAAACAAAATAACCAAACAGATTACGCAGTATAGAAGCCAGTAGTAGGTCAGCAGCACCTTGTTCACAAAAGGAGGTTTCGTCCAGGTAATTCCTTCTGTACAGGTCTGAGAGAGAAAGCTGTCTCTTTACTTGCCCTTTTTACTTCTTCCCAATTTCAGACTCTGTGCCTATCTCTACCATGCTGAAACTTTGTTTTATTGAAAGCCCACTATGCCAAGCATTACCTCGCAAGCTGTCTTTCAGCACATAAGCAAAACACTAGAATACCTGTCTTAGGAAGAAAGGAAAGTCAGAGTGTTTATGGATGGAGGCTGACATTTTAGGAGAGCCCCGTGCATCATTATGCACTTTTTTAGAAGCATGAATGTTTACTGGGCCCTCTTCAGTCGGTGGGTGCCCCTTTAAAACTAACTGCTTCCTTCTGCTGCTCAGCTGATTTCGGCATGCCCCAGGTTGGGCCTAAGTAGATCCTCACTGTCATCCCTCTTGTCTGTCCGGATGCAATGGTGCCCTCTGTCCTGCAGGGCTGGCATGCCACCGTCTAACAGAGGTTAGCCGGGCCCCATGATGGGAATAGCCAATCTCTTCCCAAGCACTTTTTTTTTCCCCTCTGGTCACCAGCGCACCACTCCATCTGTCCCATTACAGTAATTTCCTCTTTTTAAGGTATGGGATTTAATTGCACTAAATCCCTCACCCTTCAGAAGGCAGCAAGTTCCCAGACCTCTCTTGTGCTATCTGCAGACCTCTGCTGCTCCCAAGCCAAGGCAGTGTGGAGGGGCCTCACAGTGGGGGGAAACTCATTTTCTCCAGAGACAGAGGAGGACAAAGTTTCCTGTCTTTTCTCTCCAAGCCATCTGTCACTTCCCCACTGGCTTTCTCAAGCTGGTTTCAGATTAATGGCTGAGTAGATGGTCTTTAACCCTTGCTTGACCCATGCCAGCAAAGAGGGATCTATCAGCCTCTGATACATTCACTGTGGCACAGCACAGCATTTCATGGTTGTAAAATGGTGACGTTTCAATAAGACATGGTATTATTGCTTCCTAGCATGACGCAAGGATAAGGGCAGGGCTGCCCTTGGCTGCTTAGAGATGCAGCATTGCCGTGGCTGCATGCAGCACCACCAGAAGTTAAGTGACATCAAGTCTACAGGTCCTCCAAGACAGCCAACTCTACAGAGGGCAAAGACACCATAATCCAGCTTTTCACATGTTTGCCTGTTAGAAGGTAACAAAATTATCCAAATATTATATTGTGGATATTATCCAAGATACTCAATATTATCCGAGTATTTTGTCTGTTAACACATAATAAGTGTGTTAACAGCTTGGCAGGAGACTACAAACCTGGCATAAAAATAGATATACCTTGGCTTCAGGACGAGAGCAATAGTTATGAAGGAGCAACTTCACAGGTGCTCTGCTATGCATCTTTTCCTTCCTAGTGAGCACCCTTGTACTTCTGACAGCTCAAGGACATTCAGAAGGAACCAGTGTCTCTGTCATTAAGTTCCCTTGTTCCTTCTCCCCTGGAGAATCTGTTTCTTAGTCAAATTAAAGGTTACGGATGAAGTCTTATCTTGGTGAGCTGCTCTTCTTCATTACAGAGAAAGGAACGGGGCTGTAGGCCATGTTGAAAAAGTCAGAATTCCTCTTTTTGCTCCTAATATATATCAGATGCAAAATAGTAAAATCATGAACGAGGTAGGCAGCTGAGACTCATTAAAAGGAAATCCTGGTAATAAGACGGGAAAGAGAACAATAACAAGTTATTCCAGTGTGAGGGGGTTTCCAGCAGGACACTCTGAAGATGACGCCTCTGGGAAGGCTTCTCCACCCTGCACAGCTCAGAAAAGTGTCCTTTGCACAAAGCCTGAATTGTCCGTGGTTTATGCTGTGGAAAGAGATGCAGACTACTTTTCCAACACTAGGACTGGGCTTGAGATGCTTACAAGCACACCTAGCATGCTGGCCACATGCCCATACGCTGGTATCTTGTGCTGCCTTTGGATGACTCCTTTAGGGAAGCTGAGCCCTGCCATCCAAGCAGGTCACTTACAGAGCATGCCCTTTGGTGCTCGAATTTCACTTCCTTTTTAAAAAAACCCCACCTGATTTCCCTGCTGCTAAATCGGTTGTTTTCTTCTCTTAGGTACCACCACATAAGCCAGCTCGGAGGAAACCACCATGCTCCCTTCCGTTGTATTCCCACAAACCTGAGACAAGTGACAATGATGAGCAAGTGAGTATCAACTTAATAGAGGGACAAGGCCTCTCCTCTCTGCAACCTGCTCTTTCCTGAGACATGAGCTTGGAGGTAGCAGAGAGGTCAGGCTGTGTAGCAAGACATCAATCATGCAGCATCAAACCTTCCCGTGCTCACACACACACACTGAGTCAGTCAGCTCCATGCTGTTTCCCACTCCTGTAGCATGGATACACATCCCATTTCTAGTGCTTTTGGTTTTACCCTTAGAGCACTGATGGATCCACCCAGTTACCGCCTTTCAAGCATTTTAAAGCAGGAACTGCTGACATTTATTAGATTTGAACAGTGCTCAGCACAAGGAGCATCCATGCTGTTTGTTGCTTTTAGATGAACTCTAAATGTTTGAGTATAATAGCATAATTGATCTGCTCTTGAGATTTTCCCTTCTTCAGAAAAAGGGAATAATTCATCCAGAGTGAGGAGGGGTTTTGTCAGCACTACCCACAGAATATTGTCTTGACGTGTCCTCCATACAGCACCCTTGAATGAGCAGGTCCCAGCAAGCTGCTGCTACTCACTGAAGTTTATGCTGAGGCCCTTTCCAGTCACTTTTGTCCTTCTGTATTTCAGGGTACCCACCAAATTTCACATTGTCACCTGCCTTTAACAAGGAGGTGGTTCTTTGTCCTTCTTTTCTGACAGCTACAGGCTCTTGCTGCCTCCATGCCGAAGGAGCACAAGCTTTAAAATCTTAGATTCCTTCCTTTTCCTTTGGACCTGAAAAAGGCAACATGCCCCTTCACCAAGCAATGCTTTCCCTTTCTCAAACTGTTTTCAGCCTTTCATAGCTCTACCTTTCCAGCCACTTAGGCTTTTCCTGGCCGTACTAATTGGATACCCTTTAACTCTTAGTCAAGTGGTGGCAGGAAGTCTTTCCTGTCACAAAAAGTTCGCAATGTTTACCAACATTAAGGCTTGTACGCTTTAAGAGGTAGAATTTTAATCTGTCCAGTCCTGAAATAATACCAGGAGAAACTGTGTCATAGGTTAGATACCTTGGCAAAGGCCATGTAGCAGCAGAGCCATTAGACATCACCTAACTCAGATACTTCAGCCAGAAAGCAGACAACCACCTTTTCCCCCAGAGGAAGGATACATGTATGTAAGAGTCCTAGGATGGCTCAATAGCAAAAGGGGAGCAGGGTAATGAAAGAAGAAAGCAAACTTTTGTTTGAAGACTATATGAGAAGCTATATGTGAGAAGCTATATGACTTCATTTGCTCCCCTACTAGCGCTTTCTGCTTATCTCTTCCAGGTTTTCTGCCTTCATTGTGTTTCCTCTTTTTCATCTACTTTACTGTGACTTTTTCATGTTTCGTTTTGTTTTGCAGAAGCGGTCTCCAAATGCTTGCCCCATTCCCAAGGTCAAGGTGAAAAGCTCCCCCATGATTGAAAAGCTGCAGGTAGGTTCTGGAAGAGCCTAAATGGCTGCCTCTGCAAATTAAAACTGATTGGCATTTGTTATAGCTACTGCCCTTGTGGAGCAGCCACAGGGGAATGGGACCCAGGAGCCAAGTGTGACAGCTAGGTAAGCAGGGCAGTGGCCTCACTGATGAGGGCCCAGTCCCACAATGCACAAACAAGGAAGGCAGAGCAGGTCTGGTGATAGTAACCAGCATCAGAAACAGTCAAGTGATCCTCAGGCACATCCATAGGCAGGTCACTGCATGGATCAGGATCATTTCGATCTATGGGGTACATGGCTGGGCATGGGCATGGCAGCAGCACAGCTCAGGTAAGGAGGAGGGGCAGGAGCCTCAGTTTAAATGCAGCTTGTGAGAGAAACCCTGTCTGAGACTTCTTCCAGCTCTTTCTTCGCAGCAGTCTAAATCAAACTAAGTCATCTGCACCCTATCAGGGAGCTGGCCTTGAGCACAGGCAGACGAAATCGTGGCAGTGGGAAGTGTGTGCTCCGGGCTCTGGCACTCCCCCTGCACGTGCCTAGAAGCTCTGTGCTTTCCTCGTCCCGATTCCCCCAGTTACGCACAAACACACCCAGTGCTTCTTGCCCTTTTCGTATCTCTCTGCGGTGCCTGATTCGTGTCGCTGAGGGCAGCTCAGCACTAGATAGCCGGCAGACATAGTGCCCTGCTGCTGCCAGCTGCCTCTCCTGGCAGCACGTGTGGCTCCAGAGCACAGTGCCTCCCGGCCACCCTGACACAACATAAGCCTATTCATAGCACTGTCGCTCTTCATGCACCCAAGGACATTCACCTACAAGAGCTTCTTAGTGACAGGCCAGCAGGAAGTGTTTTGCCACAGTTAATCACAGGCCTGCTCCTTTCCATGGTCTTCTCACTCCTCACGACTCCACAGCTCATTCAGAAGGCCTGCACACCAGGCTTGAAAATGTGAGGTCTGCTTGGGCACACACAGGGATGGTTTAATATCTTGAAGTGATTGCTGGCTCTTTGTTCAGACTTTCTCCCAGCTCAGCCACTGTAGACTGTGCTGGCTTGGCTGGGTCACTGGAAAATCCCAAAAGGCCTCAGGATGACAAAAGGACATGTCCCGAGATCCAGCTGCTGGGGAAGGGCAAATGTCCAGTCATAACTTCTCTGCCTGGACTTGTTTGTTGACAGTGTCACCAGGAGAGACCCATAACCAGAAGGTCTGTGGTTTGTGACAGCTGAGAGATGTGGCAGCTCCTGTGGCGAGAGCAAGGGTTCCTCCGTGTGGTTACCGCATGTAGTACACGCTGGTGTCATGCAGGCCCGTGACGGGGATTTTTCTTTCCAGGCCAATCTAGCTTTTGCTCCAGCTGCTTTGCTGCCGGGAGCATCTCCCAAGAGCCCTGGTCTGAAAGCCCTGGTTTCTCCGTTCAGCACCCCTCCCTCAACGCCCAGCAGCCCAGGGATTCAGTCCCAGCCCAGTGAAGTGAGTGAGACGCCGGTCAGCTTTGATCAACCCCCAGAAGGCACTCAGCTGCAATTCTATAACAAGGTAGGGTTATGCGCTAGGATTTCTCCATCACAGCAGGCTAAGGCTTGCTTATCGCTTGGGGATGAAGAGGAAGAGGAGGCTGTAGCCCTCAGTCCTGCCCTAACAGTGCGCATTTGTGGCCGAGGGAAGAGATCTATGCGCCAGGTTCAAAACAGCCTTCCAGTGTAGCTCTGTGGAGGCTCCTCTCTGACTGCCTGCACATGGAGCTTCATGGTCCATCAGCTCCAGCAACAGGGAAGGAGTGAAGTGACAGGACCCAGTCACTTCAGCTCAGCAGCAGCAGGGTGGCTGGTACCTGGGCAGGGAGCTCTGTGAGGAGGTGGTGCCATGTGCCAGCAAATATCAAAGGTGGCTGAGGCGCAGTTTAGCCATGTAGAACACGATGGTTTGCCAGGTGTACCACAGAGCGCACAGCACTTAAATGGGGAGCTGTAACCTGCATTCCCCATCGTCAACGGGAGTGCAGACTCCTTCCTCAACCACCAAACTGACAAGAGTAGAAAAGGCCGAGACATCCAAAGTTAGCAGTGTCTGCATAATGAATGCAGCGTCATTAGGTGTAGGGTCTAACTTGGACGAGAAGCCACAGTTTAAATTGGTACAATGATCTAGCACTAGCTTTACCGAAGGAAAGGAGACATATATTAGGGAGCTGCTTGTGCTCTAAAGTAGCCTCTCAGGGGCAGGAGCCCTTGTCTCCCTGCCTCTCAGTAGCAGAGCAGCATAAGTTAAACCACCAGCATAGCAATCAGTTTTCCATGGTATTTTCCTCTGTTGTGCCTTCCTGCTTTGCAGCACCAATCTCTTTGTCTGCTTCAACGTCTGCTTTTCCTGCCCCCAAGGTGCGGACGCGAGGATCGATAAAGCGCAGGCCTCCCTCCAGGAGGTTCCGAAGATCTCTATCTGAGTATGGAGATGGGGAGGATTTAGGGGTCAACATCTCCTCTCCAGAAAATGGTGCCAAGGAAGATGGGGATGAGGTGTTTGGGCCCAAGGGCAAGACAGAGGAGGCAGAAACAGGAAGCAAAGAGCAAAAGAAACAGACAGGGTCTGACGAGAAGCCCCCATCAAGGAGAGGATCCAGCAGATCAGAAGATGAAGAAAAAGGGGAAAAACAGGCAGAGGAAATGACTCCTTGCAAAAGTAAGGCAGGGGACACAAAGGAAGAGGAAGTGTGTCATGGTGCCCCAGGGGAGGAGAACTTTCCCCAGCTTCCCTCTGGAAATAAGGAGAAGGTGTTCGAGGGTCCCCAGGGAGAAGAGCAGCAAAGCAGTGCCTGTAAACAGGAAAAGGGGGACAAGGAGAAGGAAGAAGCTGAAGCTGAAGCAAAGGAGACCAGTGAGAGCACAGACGGACGGAGAACATCAGACGCGGAAGAAATTTAACCGCTGCAGGACACAGTGGGCTTAAAGACTGCCAGTGAGTCTTCAACATCAGCCACGCAGGACCAGGGCACAGCGTAACCATGACACACAGGTAAGACAGGTCAGCATGATGATGGCTTCTAAAATACCAGAGGGTCTTGCTTATTAATGAAAATGGCAACTGTGACAGAACACACCAACATTTTTGTTGCTCCCCACACCTCAAAAGTATCAAATCTCAGGCCTCCAGAGGCTGCAAGGCAGGTTATTTAAAACAACCAGCCCTCCCGGGTGGTGTTAGAGAGGATGGAGAAGAACCAAAGCCGATTCTGGATTCAGTGAAACAGAGAGGCTCTGCTTACCAGGCACCCTGCTCAATTTCTGTTTTGAAAACAATTTGAAAGTAGTTACAGTAAAAGGCACTTTTCCCCCCGCAGTAACCATATGTATACCATCTCAACATGCCTCCTTACATATACATATTTATATGTATGTGTGTGCAGACATGTATGTATGCATTCTATATATATATGTTTAGCTTGTTAGCTTTGCCAGCAAAAATGGTGTTTGCACACACACCAGTTTCATGATCAGCCCTGGAATCACGCAAACACAGGCCTCTGCCACTTGAAATAAAAGAGGATTTCCACTGGCTGAAGTGGGGCTTGTTCCATGTAGCTTCTTACCTATTCTCTAACCACTGATAACATAGCCACAGATGCCTGAGGAACTATCTCATTCCAACTCAACCACGTGTCCCCTCTTCAAATGCCTCCTTGGTTTGGCAAGGAGCAACTGAAGGAAGCAGGCTCATGCTCAGGCTGCAGCTTGCCTTTGCCTCCTGGCACAGAAACAACCAAAGTACCCCCAGGTCACAGACTCCCCAGCATTGTATTTACTTAGACCCATGATTATTTTTCATAATTTCATTACTTTTCCCCTCTCTGAAGCACATACCCCATCAGGGCAGAGGAGACTTAACATGTGAATAGCAGCCATCTAACCCAATCAAGGTGGAAGCTACTGGAAAACCTTCAGTGGCAGGAGAGGAGCAGAATACAGATATCCTTCGAGGTCCAGACTCATCCCAGAACTGAGTAGCTGCTCGCTGGCTCTCTGCTTTGCACCGTCACATTTTGGGACAGTTGGAACAAGAGACTGGATTGCAATTGCTTCAGAGTTCAAAACTGAGGTGTTGGCTGATGTTCCTCAGTGATATTCGGGGACTGAGCGACCTGATACGTGCTGTCCTGGAGCTGACAGCCACCAGCACTCCTGGTCCTTCTGCTCCTTTATCCTGCTCCAAAATGTCTTTTTCTTCTCCCCTGCATGGGTCTTAGAAGTTCATCATTTACACATATACATATATGGTGCCTTTTTCTAGCTTCTTTTGAAATATTTTGGGTTTTCAAATTTCAGTAAATAATGTTCTAACAGTAGGAAAAAGTATGTTTTCTCCATATGTGCTGTATGGCAGACAATGTGAACCCTGAACACAGAGAAAACTCTTAGGACATTGTTCATAGAACATAAAATCCCTCTGAAGTGGGGATTGAGCTGGCTGATCTGTGAAACAGCCAGCCGTGGCAGGCAATTTTGTCGTGTGCTTCAACTTTGGGGTGGTTTTAGTGCTGGTGGAAAGTAACAACCAACAGACTTGATGCACAGAAAAGGTCAATGGGGCAAGTTTTCTTATCCAGTCCAGATTTGGAAGGGCTACCTGTCCATCAGTCTTCTTCACTTCCAGACCCTATCCAATCTTTTGATTCTTTTTTGAAACTTTCAGTGTGCAGCCACCAAGTGCCACTAGTGACAGAAAGCATCCTGGCTTACTGGAAACAGCTGATTAATTTTACGTAGGTCAAAGAAGAGGTCTTAGATGGATGAGTTTCCAGTTGTATGGCCTGACTGAATATGAATTGGTGAAGGTCAGATAGCCAGTCCCTCCTAAGTACTTAGGCGTTGTATTAGATTTGCGTTCACTCTTGGGGTACTAGTTAAATCATGGGTCTAGCAGTTGCTAATCCAAAAAAGCTTTTACACCTGGAGAGTATTTGTTGCCCATAAGAAATAAGTTATGTGGGGAAAGACAGATAACAGACCCTCACCTGGCCAGTTTCCTGACAGTAGTGCCTGAAGCTGTATCTGCAATACTGCATAGAAAGCTTCCTTGGCTCAAGGCCATGGGACTCATGTCCACAGCGTGACGTAGAGCTGTGGACAAGTCTGGGCTCGTTGGAGACAGCGAGAAAGACTTGCCAAAAGCTGAGCCAAGGAGTCAGCTAGCTGTTAGGCAGTGTGAATGGTCAGGGGCCAGTCGCCTGAACCCGCCACCAGCCACCTAGTACCCAGCAACACAGACACAGCTGCAGAGACCAAGGGCAGAACCAGCCAGCTCCTCTTCATCCATCACAAAGCTCTTTCTAGCAAACATGAAGATGAGTAGAGTCAGAGGCTTGGGTTGTTCCTGTCTCTCTGGACAGGCAAAAGTATTTTACACAACACAGCCCACACCCATCCTTGAGTGGGGTCTGCAACATAGCAGTTTCACAAATCTGATGGTTTTGAGGGATATCCCCTTTCTGTTCACCAGCCCTAAAATCACGAGGAAAGAAGTGGCCCTGTGCCCTGTCTTTCTTTTTCCCCAGGTGAGAGCACTGAGGTGTCATTTGCTGAGAGCCAGCGGTGTTGCCCCTCCTGCGTAGCATGTGCTTGTTGGCAAACATGACCCCCACATCCTTTTGAGCCATGTTGTGGAGCATTGTTACCTTTGAATCCATTTTATTCTGTTTGTTAGAGCTTGTATTCCAGGGCAGGCTGCAATCATTCGCTGTACCCTGTTTCTTCTCTCAGCAGAGTGTCCCATCTGGATGTGAGTGACTGTGCCTTACTGTGTATATAGACATAAGTGTGCCTGTTTAGAGAATGAATATGTGTATCCCGAGCAAGGGAATGGAAATCCAAGGGAGAAACAGAAGAAATAAATGGTGGAATAAACCCAAACCAAACCAAAATGTGTGTGTTTCCTCCCGGGGTCATGAAGGAGCCTGAGGAAGGATGGAGAGAGCTGGTAGCAGCAGGCAAAATAAGGGTGGGATTTCCACTGCCATTGGAACAGTTGAACATTAAATTTTAATTTAATTTGTGGTATTATTTACTTTTGGGGAACTACAATAACCAATATGCTTAATCCACAAACGAAGGTGTTCTTTGGGGCAAGGAATGACACTGGAGACTGCCACAGTCCCTGCCCCAGCCCTGCAGGTACAGGTATCTAGGAACAGAAGAAAGCAAAGCCATCTAGCTGAGTGCCACTTCTCCAACAGCATCCTTGTTCAGGGGAAGCATAAAAAATGCAAGGCGACACACAGTGATCCTTTCCCAGCTTCTGGTATCACCAGTTTAGAGACTTCCTGTGCCAGAAGTTGCATCACCATCTTTCTCCTTGATGGCTTTACAAGTTGCAGGGAAAAAAGATGCCTGTTTCTCAGCCGAAGGCACCCACACATCCCTCCTGGGGCAATGCCCGCTCAGGCGGCACGCAAACCTTGCCCCATTTGCAGGCCAAGTGACAGCAATTTCAGAAAAGACTCTTCGCCAGCATTAGCATCGTGACACCACAAAAGCAGAGGATACATGTAGGCAGGTATCCCTGCCCCATCCATACTATCAGGAAATGTTGGCTTGGGCAGTGTGGTCTTGTATCCACAAGGTGTACAGGGTCAAAAAGTTCTGACTGAAATGTAGACCACATCTTGGCTTGGTGTATAGGGTGGGGGTGCCTATTCAGACCCATGCGTATCTGTCAAATTGCTGAGGCTGGATTGTGTGATGTCAGGTGTAGCAACAGTGATGGTCAAACAGGAAAATGCCCTGAGCAAGAAAAACCTGATATAACGTATGCAACTCCTCTGGTGTGGATGGTGCCTGAAAGATTAAAAAAAAAGTAAAAGCACAAAACTTGCAGGCCAGAAGACCTTTAAATTGATGAGGAAAGATAGAAAACAGAGCAAGAATAAAGTAGAGAAAGGAATGCAGCACAAGAGCAAAAAGACCGTGGCAGTTGAGTTAGGCTGGGATCTTGTTTTTATGGTTATTTTTTGATTGGACTGTGTTTAAACTGCAATGTGAACCACAAGAAAGCATTGGATGGGTAAGGACTGAGAGCAATTACTGATGGGGGGGAACAGGTTTTTTTGAAAGATCTGGGATGCAAGGGAGGCTGGTACAGAGGTGTGGAAACATGACGGGGGAAGCTTGAGGGTGACAGGAGGCATCAGCAGGATATAGCACTTCAGGGATGAAGCAGGAGCCAAAGCAGCAGTGTGAAGCAGGTTCAGAAATCAAAGGAAACGCTGCTGGTTCCTCTGGGCCCCAACACATAAGAAACACACACCCAACGCTGAGGCACTTTTCCCAGAAGCCTAAGGCCCTTTGTTAGGCCATTTTCCTTGCAGCCTCCGGTGGGCCCGAACTGCCACTCCT